CGGGCAGCCATAACTCATCCACCAGACTGTGATGATTGTCTCTTTATATCTCAAGGATAAAGAGGTACGATCCTATAGAACAGATCCTGTTCAAGTAAGGTCGTGCTTAGTGCGGCTGAGGCATAATCTTATATACACTTTGTTTTAGTGTTGTGTTTCCGGTGTGGGACAATGAAGTGAAGTTCAGACTCACAACTTTGATAAATAAAAGCGCTTGTTGTATCAAATGACTTCAAAAGCCAAAATATTTTGGTTGTCTCATCACGTCGCTATTTCCCATTCTTGGGCTTTTTTGTACTTTCCTTATTCCCTGTCAAAATATAGTTAGTAAAGTATTTTGTTTTTATTGAATTGATGAAAACAAAAAAAACTCGGGTTCGTTCGGCATCGTGCTGCTGTTTAGAACAAGCAAAATAATATTTAAACTAAATACAAGGAAATTAATTTCGTTTTGATATATATTGAATTATTTCGAGTCTACATTTACATGTGTAGATTTATGCTCCGCTGAACTCAAAAATTATAAAATTTTATATTAACTAAAAATGAGTCTTAAAGAATCAATTTATTGGAAAACTACATATATATATATATATACATATAAAATGTAGTATATTTTTGAGATTTAATTAGAGCTCGATTCATTAGCTAAGTGAGTTAAAGCTTGACCCGTTTATCAAACTGAGCTTGAGCAAGTGGAACTGGCTAGCGGTTCAATGTTTAACATCTCTATTTACAACTATATTATTATTAATAATAATATTACCTGCAAAATGCACTAGATTTTCAATTGCAGTCACCAACAACATTTTAATTGCATTATAAATATTATTATTCTTCTTCATTTATTTTATTTTTTTTTTGGGTCCAATGTTTTATCTTAAAATAGAAAGATATATTGCACATATATAGTAGTATTTATGATAAGTTTGCAGGACTATATGGTTGGCAATGATATGTTGACTATCTTAATACTACTTAATTTCTCCATTAAATTGTGTTAATATTAGGTACAACTACACCATTCTTTCAACTTTTTTTATATTTTTTATTAATATCAAAATTCTTGAACCACTTTTTATGTCCAATGCGATTATTAGTTTGAATGACTCGTTGAAAAGTGTGTTATTATATTATTTCAGTTAAATTAAACCCACAACATTATATTATGTAACATCAATTATTTCATAATCTCATTTTTTTTTTTTTTTTTCATATCATGTAGAATTATTTAATTACACGCATTGTGGATATATAAGATGCAGCTAGTTTTTGTCCAATTTTAAGCTACTATGACAATTATATAGTCTTAACAACTAATTGTAATTGTAGTGTTTTCTCTTTACAAAATTGCAACTAGTGTCTTAATCACATCTAACCATTTATTGGTTTGAACTCGACTCGATAAATACTTCATATAAATTTTATTTGAAATTCACATTAGTACTTTTAACAATCGAACCTTCTATACTCGATTATAATTCTCTCAATATATCTTCAACACATTTAATTTCCACAACACTTTACTTTAATTTATAATTTTACAACTAGTTGGATTTGTAAATGTACGTTTAGAGTTTGAAATCCTGATATCAAGCTTGACTCGTTAACTAAATGACACGACAAACGAGCTTGATTTAAAGTCATTTGAAACTTAAACATTAACGAGTCTCGTGTCCTTGGAGAGTTGGTTATGTCTTGCAGCTGTACAATTAATTAGAGGTGCAATTGTGTAAATGAGACGAACTGAGTTCGACTCGTAACTAAAAAAGACATTAATTGAACTTTATTTTTGTTCGTTTAAATATTAACGAGTCAAACTTAAGTCTTAACGACCTCGACTTGTTAACTAAACGAAGTTTCGACATGCTCGATTTTAGGTGGTTTGATCCAAACTCAAAGAGCCGATTGAGCCGTGTTTACGAAGGATTCATTTCATATTTCATTTAGCAACACTAAAAAGTAAAAACAAACCTCTATCTTAACACACATAAGCCCTAAACCTAGCTGTTATGATTGGTGTGTTGTAGGTAGCTGGTTATAAATTGCATAATAATATTTTTGTAATATCTATGTTTTTACAACGAACTATTCTTCGAAAATGTTAATATTTAATCGGATAAACTATTTTTATAGGAAATATCTCCCAAATACTTCTTGATTTTGTTAAACCAATGACGCATTGCTGCTTGAAAACCCATGTTTTAAATACCGTATCGTATTGACTAGTAATACCGGTAATTCGAATATCGGCTATTGGTACGGTATAAATACATTCAAAATAATGGATTTACGGTTATACCGGGATCATACAGTAAAAACAGTAAAATACCGGTCCAAATTACCGATTAATAAAAAAAAATTAATTTAAAAAAAAAATTTAAATTGATAGTTAAAATATTTTATTTTTATTTCATTGAAAAGTTGAAATTAGTGATTATGGTCATTTATTTTTTACTCTAGTGCATTTGGTATTAAATACTTGTATGTATATTTATATTTATTATTATATTTGCTAATCCAGTAATACCATCGATATTATCGGTCCGGCCGGTAATGAGTGACATGATGACCGGTAAGGTATTTAAAACAATGTTGAAAACCACATTTCTTACATAGATTTGCTTGAGCTTAACCTGCTACCTGAGTATGATAAAAAAGAGGGTCTTGAAAAGAAAAAGGAGAAAAATTGGCATTGGAGTTTTCACCAATTTCATTTTGTTTTCTTGTTTGTTTCACATTTTCTTGTAATTTTCCGGCGACCTCAAAGACTTGTGTGTGTGTGTGTGTGTGTGTTTTTTTTGGATTCATTGTTTTTTCCGTCCTCTTCTGATTTCACTATAATCGGAAAAGCTCAATCTTTATGGTTTATTGGGCTCCATTGTTGTGCCAATTAGCTGAAAGATCCCATCTTGCTTTGTTTTTTTTGGTCGATTGTATAATAATAAGTAAAGAATAAATCAGTTAATGGCGAATGCATCTGGGATTTCTACTCCCACGGCGGCCGGCGTTGGGAGGAGATTTTCGCCGTCGATAGGCATTTATCGATCTGGGTTTTGGTTCTCTGAGGTCGTGGCCAGGAGAATAGTGTGCTCCAGCGCTACTCATAGCGACAAGACGCTCTCCCCTTCTGATTCGAGAGCTCCTAGGTTAGTAATTGCTCGGAAAATTTTCGCTCTTTCGATTTTTTTTTCTTATAAATTCATTTTGTGGATTTTAATTGTCTGTGGTTTATTGATATTTTTGTTCTTTTTAATGATGTGTAATATAGCTGGTCATATAGCATCAAAGGGTTCTTTAATATTCATTCAGCAAGATCCTACATTTATAGCTTCGATTATTTGAGCTTGCTAAATAGGATTATGGTCTAGCCTGTTATTTTCATGGCATTTGTTGTACAAATTGATGATTAAGTAGTTATGAATAATTTGGAGGCGGCTAGTGTTGGTCTCAATCAAAAGGTAATCAGAAATACACACTTCTGTTTTAAGTTATACATTATGTGACGATTGTTAACTTTGAATTTTCATTCGGATCGTTTGCTAATCTCGATTAAAATGTGTAGGCTTGTAAGCAGAGGCTGCAAGCTAGTTGGATGTGGGTCTGCTCTACCGAGTCTCCAAATATCCAATAGCGACCTCTCGAAAATTGTCGATACTAACGATGAATGGATATCGGTTCGGACAGGAATTCGGAATCGAAGAATACTTGCTGGTGTGTGTTTCAGCTTTTCTCGAGAATTTTAAGGTTGTGAGTTGTGACTGCTGATGATGATTATGTTTGATGTCCTAATTGCCTGCATTTGAAGAAGTTATATCATTGCCTTTACAGTTTATCCCTTTTTTGGTAGATTCTTGTAAAATGTTCTGTTTTGTTTTGAAATTTTCAATTTGCCTTTATAATCTAAGTTTTACAAGCCAAACATGGCTTTACTTTTGCATCTCGATGACTTTGCAGGGAAAGATAGTCTAACCAGCCTGGCTGTAGAGGCATCACAGAAAGCTCTTGATATGGCGGGTGCTAGTCCTGATGACGTGGATCTCGTGCTATTGTGTACATCGACTCCAGAAGACTTGTTTGGCAGTGCCCCACAGGTGAATTTACGATTTTTTACTTTTTTCTGAAATAGTTTGAAATCTCCGCTGTTTTTCTTGGGTTTGGTAGAATTTATCTACTCGTAATTGTTGCGAACTCAACTATGATCAAATTTCTACTAAAGGCATTTTTTTTTTTTTTTTCCAAATGCCTTGCAAATTGGTCTTGATAATAGTGATATCTGTTTCGGTTTATGCTCATTCACTGAATTTTTATCTTCGAACAGCTTCAGATTATTTCAAAATCAGTTGGTTAAAAAGCCAATCTTTTCTTTTGTTTATTTCTTCTTGTTCTTCATTTGTGTTTTTGGGTCATTCATTCGTGAACAATAATATGTGGCAAAAACTCAAAGGTTTTTCTGGTGACTTCTTTTCTCCAGATTCAAAAAGCACTTGGATGCAAAAACAACCCGTTAGCATATGACATTACTGCTGCATGCAGTGGTTTCGTTTTGGGCCTAGTTTCAGCCGCTTGCTACATTAGAGGTGAAAGCTTAATCATTAAATCATCCTTATTGTGAAAAAGCAGGAAAAAAAAGACATTCTTATTTATACTTGATATATTAATTAGGGGGTGGCTTCAAAAATGTTTTGGTGATTGGGGCCGATGCATTGTCTCGCTATGTCGATTGGACTGATAGAGGATCGTGTATCCTTTTTGGTGATGCTGCTGGTGCCGTTTTAGTACAGGTAATAGAACATAAGAAAAAGTTTTTTATGCTTTCTTGATTATAAAACATCCCGGTTAATTTGATTATTATTTGTTCTATTTTATAAATACGCGATTTTTTATATTTATTTTTTCTTGCAGGCATGCGACAGTGAAGAGGATGGTTTATTTGCGTTCGACATGCACAGTGATGGTGAAGGGCAGAGGTAACTTTCATAATATGCATTATCTCTAAACATGACATTAATTTCTAATTGATTCTTTGTTTTTTGTTTTTTTATACATTTACAGACACTTGAAAGCTAACATTAAAGAAAATGAGAAAGATCGCTCAATGGGCACAAATGGGTCGCTCCTCGGGATTCTACCAAAAGACACATCTTACTCGTGCATCCAAATGAATGGGAAAGAGGTGTTCCGATTCGCAGTTCGTGTCGTCCCACAATCGATTGCTTTGGCCTTAGAAAAGGCGGGCCTCAGTGGATCTAATATAGATTGGTTGCTTCTTCACCAGGTACGAATATTATCATAAATGGTCCGAATTATCACTGTGAAGCATTGATTTAGCAGTTAGTAGGAAAAGTTGGAGATTTTGTCGTGTAACTCACACTTAATTGAGAAATAGTCCGGTGATCTCGTTGACTTTACAAAAACACACTGTAACTGCAAAAAAACCTGACTTTTGGTCATTCCACCAGCAAAAGCCGGTCCTGATCGTCAGTTGCTAACGGGATATTATTTTTCTTTTTTTTTTTTTCGTACACGTGACAACCAACTAGCATATCCAACTCATCAGCCGGTCCCTGTGATCAGTTGCTAACGTAGATATTATTTTCCTTTTTTTTTTTTTTGTAGACATGACAACCAACTAGCATATCCAACTCAGCAGCCGGTCAAATTGACCGGCTTTTGCTGGTGGAAGAACCAATTTTTCCTTTTTTTTTTTAGTTACATGGTGTTTACTACTTCTCAATTTGGTGTTAGGTACAAGACTAAATCTTCAATTTTTCCACAAATAGTTTGTTAAGATTTGGCCTCGTTACCCAAAAAATCTATGAACGCGTTTTTAAAATATAATGCGACTACAACATAATTGCACGTAACTGCAGGCAAACCAAAGAATCATTGATGCTGTAGCCACACGGCTAGAAATCCCGGGTGAACGAGTGATATCCAACCTGGCGAATTATGGCAACACGAGTGCTGCATCGATCCCTTTGGCATTGGATGAGGCCGTTAGAAGTGGGAAGGTCAAAAGTGGTCAAACCTTAGCTACTGCAGGTTTTGGAGCAGGGCTCACGTGGGGCTCGGCCATAATCAGATGGGGTTGATTGATTTAGTCGTGTTCGGATGAAATGAGAAAAAAAAAAGGATAATTGTTCGAATCAAACGTGTCGCCTTTGTTTTTTTTTTTTTTTTCGTCTGGTAATCGATGTCCTTATGATCCTTGGAATTCAGTAGCATAAACAAGTTGTTAGTTTTAGATAAGAGTCGTTAAGCGAAATGATATGACTCATATAAAACTTGTTAAGTTAACGAGTCGAGTTTTGGAAAAAAAGAATTTTTTTATTCATCGGTTCGTCAAGGCCCGAAATTGACATGTAATAAACGAGTTAATTTTTTATGTCAAAACTTGTAGTATGCATATATAAACACATTTATTAGTTAGAGAAATTAATCTCCGACTTATTCAGTTTAAAATTTTCATATGCAGATTAGAAAAGCTTTTAATTTGTTGTTCCCATACAGCAGCACGAAGTGCAGAGTTTTGTTGGTTGGTTTTTAATTTCTTAAATTACGTAAAAGATTAAGATTTGATCTGAGGAACAAGTAACATTACAAAGCTGAAGAGGAAGGAAAAGCCCATGTTAAAGCTGCGGCATACGAGAGTAGCTCAAGTTCACTTCATACTCCCACATCGGAAACACAACACAAAAACCAAGTGTTTATAATACCAGGCCTCCATAGCAATGAGCACGACCTTACTTGAACAGGATCTGTTCTATAGGATCGTACCTCTTTATCCTTGAGATATAAAGAGACAATCATCACAGTCTGGTGGATGAGTTATGGCTGCCCGGCCAGAGCGTGATTAACAGACCCTTTGGACTCGGTCCTGTTTCCACTGAGTCAGTAGAGGATCGTTCTTGATTTGCTTTGGCGAGCCAAGATGGCCCGGCAGCTGTCTGA